AAATGAAACAATAGATTTTTTTTGCACGTTAAATTAGTATGGATGAGAGGAGGGAGGAAGAAGGAACAAAGGAAAGAAGGGAGGAAGGAGGGGAGGAAAAGACACTATGGTGCAGAGACTGCACATTTTCTTTTTTTTTAATATTTATTTATTTATTATGTATACAATATTCTGTCTGTGTATATGCCCGAAGGCCAGAAGAGGGTGCCAGACCTCTTTACAGATGGTTGTGAGCCACCATGTGGTTGCTGGGAATGGAACTCAGGACCTTTGGAAGAACAGGCAATGCTCTTAACCACTGAGCCATCTCTCCAGCCCCAGAGACTGCACATTTTCAAGTGAGGTTTTACCTGTAGGATTTTCAACGATAATATAAATTTCCTAAAATATAATTTGTTAATATTATGAAGAACATATCTAAATTGTATATCATTTGATTCAGTAGCTACAGTTCTACAATCTCTGCTTGGGCAACAATCTAGAACTATAGAACACTTATAGAGAATGGTATTCATCTCAGTGTAACTTGGCATAGGAGAAAATACACAAACGTTAAACAGCCCAGGTGCAAAAGGCAATTACTAAATGTTTTTCAAATATATGATGCCTTTGGAAAGAATTGACCTACAATATAGGCAAAATAATGAGAGGCTCCTCCTTTCTCTCCTTTCATTTCTTCACTTCCTTTGGATTCCCCCGCCTACAATGAGACACTTCCCTCCTTCATAATGCAGCTCCTCGCTTAGTTAATCCTCTCTGGAAATGCCCTCCCTACACCCAGGGAGCCTGCTGCTAATCAGCGGGTACTTCTCAGTCCCTCAAGCTGACAGGCAAGAGGAGTCAGTAACGAAGAACTATCACACCGCAGTTTCTTCATGGGTTTCTTAACCAGAATCCTTCTCTACGACAGTAGGTCTTGTTGTTTTTGTTTTAAGACTTTTAATTACATGTCTGTATGAGGATAGGGTATGTACACGTGTGAACACAGTGCTTGCACAGTCCAGAAGAGGGTGCTGGACCCCTGGAATTGCAGGCAGTTGTAAGCCGACTGAGTTCTGGTCCTCTGGAAGAACAGTACATGCTCTTAACCGCTGAGCAATCTTTCCAGCCCTGATGGCAGTATCTTTAACAGGAGCTTCACAGACCATCTTCAACAACATCCTTTGGGGTACTTATTTACAATCCCCATTTCCACCCTTCCAAGTCTTAAGAATAAGAATCTCTAGGAGCGGAGGCAGAAGCCTATATGTTTTACCAAGCTTCAGGTGATGACAAGCAAGCAAGGCCTAGCCACCCTGCGCTTCCTCGGGTGTGTAAACTGTAGCCTGGTATGTTAAGGGGTTGGTTTTATGGGGAAGGCATGCCCCCCATATTCTCTGGGCTAAGGGAACAGCTAGAAATGTCTCAAACTCCGGCAATATGTATTAGGTACTTTTCTCATTTGGAGACAAAATGTCTGGTGGGGAGTTATTTCGGCTTACAGTTTGAGGGTACACTCATCCTAGAGGAAAAGTCATGGTAACAGGTGCTTGAGGTCATGTTAAATCCAAGTCAGGAAGCAGAAAGGTTTGGACCCTCTTTATTCAATCCATTTCAAGGACCCGATCCTTGAAATGGTACTGTCCACATTTAGGATGGGTTTCCATGTCAATGAGCCTAATCTAGAAAACTCCTCACAAACATACCCACAGATGTGTCACTATGGTGCCTCGAAATTCCAGCAAGTTGACAGTGTTAATGACCAAGATTAACCATCCAACAACACAATGAAGCTGTGGATCAAAATGTCAAAGTGATGAGTTCGTCTGTTCTTTATTATGTTATGTGAGTTCCTTTGATGATGGGTGAGCTCAATATGGGAGGGAAGTTAAAACATATATTGTAACATGAGTATATATTATGTTTATTGTGGTAGTTTAAATGAAAATGCTGTCCCTAAACTCATAAGGAGTGACATTATTTCAAAGGAGTAGAATGCATGGCCTTGTTGGAACAGGTGTGGCCTTACTGGAGGAAGTGTGTCACTGGGGGTGAACTTTGAGGTTTCAGAAGCTCAAGCCGGGTCCAGTGGCTCGTTCTTTCTTCCTGCTGCCTGCTGATCCCGAAGGGAAAGTTCTAGCTCCTTCGCCAGCATCATGTCTGCCTGCACACACATGCTTCCTGTCAGGATGATAAAGAACTCATCCTCTGAACCAATAAGTCAGCCCCAATCAAATCCCAAAGCTTGCTGCAGATTCTGCTGCTTAAGAGGCTTTGGGAAGAAACAAGCAGCAGTCACGTGTCCAAGGTGCTATTGGGAACCAGAATGACCACTGGTCCATGAGTCTGGAGTCAGGAGAGAAGCTGGCACTGAGGACATCCGTCTATTATCCTGGACCATTTCCGGCTCTGAGCTCAGATCTTGAGCTAGCGCTCCCTACTGTTAGGTAAACCTACCATTCTAACATTCGGTCTCTGATCCCGATGGCTAACACAGAGCCTTTGTGATTTCCTGAAGGAAGGAATGCCTGATGGGAAGCTCTTAAAATCTGGGGAGTTTCCTGAAATAGTCAAAAAATCTAAGAAGGCAACTCTTGGCAAGCTTCTAGACTGCTTCAGGGTGGAGTGCTGACCTACCAGAAAGCAATGAGATTGGAAGGTTGTAGTGGTCAGGCCCTGGTCCCCGAGGAGAAGAGGGAGGGGCTGGAGATTGGGTTGATCACAGATGGCTAGTGCTAGAATCAACCATATGCACACAACGAAGACTTTGTAAGACAAAATAACAAAAAACAAAGTCATGATGTGGAGAACCACTGAGCTGCAGTTTGTGGTTAGCACACCCAGAGGGGACGTGGAAGCCATGCACCCCTTCAACCACACCTAGCCTTCTCCCTCAGCTGCCTGTTTTCACTGTCTTAATGTCTTTTTAAAATAAATTGATAAGCAGAACTATTCCCCACATTCTCTAAGTCATGTTAGGGAAATTAATTGGACCCAAGGAACAGGCTGTTGGAAGCCCTGTAATAGCAGGTTAGTCAGAAGCACAGATCACAATCTGGAGCTACTGATCGGCATCTGAAGTACAGGGCAGTCTTGTGGAACTGGACTCTTAAGCTGTGGGGGCGGGCAGACCTGGAGTGGAAAAAAGTCAACCACTGTTCCCATTCCCAGTGAACGCGTAGTAAACTGTGACCACCGTAGCTGGCAAAGATGCTATCTGTTCTTAGCCAGCATCAGCTGGGTTTTCTCCAGTTCAGTTCTGACACTCCCTCTCTATAGGCCGCATGGACCCTCTAGGCTGGGCTTTCAGTCTCCAAGACTTCTTCTCACTTCAAATGTCTGCCACCGGCAAGCAGGACCCACAGAGAAATGACTGCTTAACTTGCCTAAAAGTGAAACAATCCTTCAGGGTTCCTGATACATGAAAGAGTCTGCCAGACATTCTGCAGGGCACAGAAAAACCGACAAACTGCCAATATAGGCAGAACTGTCTTTGAAATTTCCTGCTTCATGGAAAAGCCTGCTGGATACTATGGGCCTGTAGGCTGAAGATGGATGTCCCAACAGTACAGACATTGGGCAACTGTCCAGGCAGCGAAATGTCTCTGTCAATTCTAGAATTTTGGAAGTTGGTTGCAATGTACTTCCTGTAATATATCTTTCTGTAGTCTTTGATAGAGTTGAAGAATAGATAGTAATAATATAATTTTCCCTAGTTATGATAAAAAAATAAAATAGATATAACTGAAAAAAAAATGTCTGCCACCGTCCACCCCAAAATGATAACAATTGACCTACTCTCTCTGGAACTGTAAGCGAGCCCCCAATTAAATGCTTTCTTTTATAGGAGTTGCCTTAGTCATGTTGTTTCTTCACAGAAAGAGAACGTAACTCAGACACCACTCTTAAAGTAGCAACATTTTTTTCCTTGGTTTGTCAGCCACATAGAAAGAAATTATTTTTTTTTTCTGCAGATGTTTTTGTTCCTGCATGCTGGGGCGCTATGGTGATGCTTCTGTGCCCTGAGGGTGGAGCTGAATCTAGAATGGTGGTGGACATCTTGAGATGATGAACAGAACTGTTCTAAAGATGAAAAGAAGCTTAGGGTTTTTTATGACATGCTAGAATCTTTCAATTAACCCTAGAATATTCTAGTCCTGGACTCCTTGCTATGTGAAAATGGAGAGGGTTCTTCAAAATTCATGGTACAAATATGTGACCTTAGTAATAGTGTAACCATTAAGTTTCTCAAGCCCAAGGCCTTGGAGTAGTCCTTGAACCTCACCCTCTCTCTCAAACCTCACACTCAATACACAGCTCCTCCTTCCAAGCATTTTTTTTCAATTATTTCTATTTCTTTTTATCTCCTTTAGGTCCACTTCAGTTCCAGTTACTACCGTCTGCCTCTCAGGCCACTGTGAGCACCTCCTGGCCATTTGTGATCTCTTTTTTGCTCCTTTCTGATCTTTTCTCTGTAAATAGTAGCCATGACTTTTAAACACATATCACTCCCTTGATTAAAATTCCCCACTTGGCTTTCCACTGCGTCCAGAGTTAAGCACAAACTTCTCACCACGGCAAGCAAGCTCCTCTGTGGTTTGACACCTTCTGTTTTGAGTCTCAATACCTCCTACTCTTCCCCAAGGTCACAAGTTCCAGTCACACTGGCTTTTCCTCTCTCAGACGCCACAACCTCACTCGGTTTTCACGTTTGTCTCCTCTCCCTGGCATGCTCTGTTCCAGATGGTGCATGATCTTTATTTGCTCAGACCTCAGAGAAACCCTCTCAGCTAAAGCGGTCCAACTTCATGACGTCACTCACCTTGTGACTTGTCCTGTCGCCCCGTGTCATTGTTCTCACCATAGTTCTATCTGACACATGTATTCTCTGCCTCTCCCTCCTGAGATGTGAGCTTCGTGGAAGGGACTGTTTTGTTTGCTTCAGCATTCCAAACACCTAGATCAGTCCTGACCCGTATAAGCCTCGGCGGACACTTGGATGAGTCAGAACGAGCGCAGGAACACGTGGTGGGAGCAGGGAGCGGAGGAAGAGGAGCGAAGACTCTTCCCTGGGGATTTTAACTGCAGTTGGAGAAGAGCCCTTTCTTCTTCCGTCACGATCGGACAACTCCTAGTTGTTTGCCTTGGAAGCAGGTAGAGCTGGAGAAGTGAGTCTGCGGATGAATGAAAGGTGGGTGGCGTGGACTCCGGTGACGTTTCTTCTGGGTCTTCAGTGACCTTTTCCTTTTCTTTGTGCAGTTACACAAAGTCAAGAATTGTCTTACTTACTGTATTAAGTTGCCCTTTTTTCCCTAATTTTTAAAAACTCGTTTTATTTCATGTGTATGAGCATTTTTCTTACCTGTATATATGTGCACCACATTCACACTTAGTGTCTGTCAAGGCCAGAAGAGGGCATTGGAGTCCCTGGAACTAGAGGTATGCATAGTGTCACCACGTGGGTGCTGGGAACTGAACCCAGCTCCTCTGAAAGAGCAGCAAGTGCTCTTGATGGCTGAAACATCTCCCAGCCCTGCTTTTCTTTCTTTTTAAATTTTGATTCGTTGCGAGTGTTATACACATCTACAATGGGTTTTGATTATTCCCATTCCCACTTTCTTTCTCCAACTCCTTCTGTATCACCTGTGCCCTCCTCCCTACTTCATCCTGTCTTTTCAAACAGCCCACCAGTCGATTTGCTCGTTGCTTTGACCAAGTACCTGACCAGAAGCAACTTAAGGCCGGTTTTATATTGGCTCACACTTTTAGAGTACAGCCATTATGACAGGGAAGACATGGCTGCCCACACGTCTAGAGGACAGTCATCATGTCAGGGAAGACATGGCTGCCCACACGTCTAGAGGACAGTCATCATGTCAGGGAAGGCAGGGCTACCCACACATCTAGGGGACAGTCACCACAACAGGGAGGGCAGGGCTGTAGGTACATGCAGCAGCTGGTCCCAAAGCCTCCTCATTCACAAGACAGAACACAGGAGGTGGGGAGCAGGCTATAACACCATTATGGCCTATGGCCGGCTTCCAGTGACCCACTTCCTAACCTACTTCCTGAACAACTCTACTGCCCAAAAGCTTTCACAACCTTCCACACAAGCACCAGTAGTTGAGAACCAACTCTTCCAATGTGAGCCTATCGGAGACATTTTGTTCAAACCACAACATTTATTTAAGATCATCAAATTAGAGTTCTTTTTCATCTTTTTCATGCCGTCACAGTCTATCATTGTTCTTTCGGAAGGGAGGCTCTGGCCTGGTGCTAGTTACCTGTGCTGGGTCCCTGCTGTTCTCTCATCTACACCAACCAAGTATATGGGGAAACAAACAAGCATCAGCAACAACAAACAGGCTGTATAACAAAGACGACTTCTCACTTAACAAGAGTGCGCTGGGAAGTCTATCTACATTCTGACATCCACAGGCATCCGGTAACCAACTGAGAATTAGCATGTAGTAGACACTGGGGCTACAGGGGTAGGGATACAGCTTAATGGGTAGGATGCTTGCCCAGCATATATGAAGCCCTGAGCTCAACCCTCAGCCCTGTGTAAACTAGGTGTGGGGCTCAGTCCAATAGTCCCGACGTTTGGAAGGTTGGAGGCAGGAGAACCAGAAGTTCAGAGGCGTTCATGGCTACAGAGTGAGTTCAAAGCCAGCCTGGGCTACATGAGACTCTGCCAACAAATTTAAAAGTTGCTAGACATTTTAAAGTTTTGGATTTTGTTGACCTTTTAAGGCTGTGTTATAGGTGGAGTAGAGATAGGATATTTGCTATGGGGTTCCAAGCATCAAATCCTTGTATGACACTCCAGATGGATGGCCGCAAAATGTAAGGACTTTGTTTTTCTGCCCAGTAATAAATGGTTACTTTGTTCTGCACGGTAATTTCAGAGCTGCAGAATCCCATCTGTGTCTCCAGAACTCCTAGATGATGTCACCATGAGCTCTGTTCCCTCAGGGTATTTAGACCCTTTTTACACACTTTTAATTAGAATGTAATTACATCACTGTCCCCTTCCCTCTCCTCCCTTCACCTCCTCCCATGTCTTCCTTCCAACTCCTTTTATGCCCCCTACTCTCAAATTGATAACTATCTTTTTCTTTTATTATTTTTATATACATATAAATATTCACAAATTATAAATACAACCTGCCGAGGCAATGTTTACTGCTTGTGTGTTTGTGGTTTCAGGGTTGACTACTTTGTATTAGATAGCCGACTGGGGCCTCATCCCTGGGAGAGGCTTATTCTTCTCTCAGCAGTCGTTAGTTACCCGTAGTTCTTTGTCTAGGGGTGCAACCTAATGGGAATTTTCTCCTTCTCTATTGATACTGTCATTGTACTAGTCTAGTTTATACAGCCATTTCTAAGATAGACCTTTCCCATAAGATCCTAGGATTCTGGCTCTTTCTCTACACTTTGCCAGTGTCATAAATGCGGGAGTTTTGATGTACATGTATCTGTTAGGTCTGGACTTCCCATGATTCATTGATCTCTGCATTGTATCCCATTGAGGTCTCCATTTCCTGTAAAGAAAGGCTTCTGTGATGAGGGGTGGTAGCTACACTCCTCCGTGGGTATAAGGGTGAGGTTCAGAATGCACTTGGACCCTTTTGTTACAAGCAGGAAAATTTTGAGGACATCTGTCTGTAGGCCAAGTCCAGAGGGTGGCTTGTAGGCCGCTTGGTTCAGCCTCAGAGATCAAAGCAGACAGACAGTTCCTTTCCATCCAGAAGCCTCAGAACAATTAGCCAGTATCTGCTTCATCTCATCCAAGCCTGCATTTTCTTGTTGATTGAAATCAGAAAAGGTTAGAACGTTTCATCTCAGGAGGAAACAGAAGTGGTTATGGCCTGTCTCCCAAATAGAGTCATGGCTGGGAATCAGAGAGACATAAATGAGCCATTCACTTTATACACCAAATTCAGGGGCTATCAAAAACCTCCAATATCAACATGATTTTTTTTAACAAAACATTAAACAAAAAATTGACGGGTACTCTTTCTGGTGGCATTCGGCCATGTCAAGATGAAGCTGAATATCTACACGCCAGCCACAGGCTACGAGCAGCTCATTGAAGTGGATGATGAACGCAAAGGTCGCTCTTTCTATGAGAAGCACAAGGTCCTGAAAGTAGCTGCCAATGCTCTCGGTGAAGAGCGGAAGGTTCCCGTGGTCAGAATCAGTGGTGGGGATAACAAACAAGGTTTCCCCATGAAGCAGGCGTCTTGACACACAGCAGAGTGCACCTGCTACAGAGTACAAGCATTCTCGTTCTAGACCAGTGGTTCTCTACCTTCCTAAGGCTGCGGCCCTTTAATATAGTTCCTCATGCTGTGGTGACCCCCTACCATAAAATGATTTCCATTGCTACTCTAACTGTAATTTTGCTACTGTTATGAATTGGATTTTAAGCATCTGATATGCAACCCAAAGGGGTCGCGACCCACGGGTTGAGAACCACTGTTATAGACCAAGGGAATGGGGAAAATTGCAGGTCTGCTTGTGAGTGCATCGTGGATGCCAATCTGATTGTTCTCTTCCTGGTTATTGTAAAAACAGGGGGATATTCCCGAACTAACAGATGCCACTGTACCTCAGCAGTTGGGGGCCCAAAGGAGCTAGCAGAATCTGAAAGCCTTTCTGTCTCTCTAAAGGAGATGACATCCACCAAGATGCTGTCAGAAAGCACTGAAACCAAGAAGGCAAGAAGCCCAGGACCAGAGCACCCATGAGTCAGCGTCTTGTTATTCTACGTGTCCTGCAACACAAACGCCTACATTTTGCTCTGAAGAAACAATGAGCTAAGAAAAACATGGAGGTTGCAGAATATGCTAAACTTTTGGACTAAAGAATGAAGGAAGCCAAAGGGAAAACCCCTAAAACAGACTGCCAAGGGATGGAGGCCATCTTCACTGAGAGCTTCTGCTTCTGAGTCCAGTCAAAACTAAGTCTTTAAGAAGAACAAATAAATGTTCTGCCCTTAAATCTAAAATACTTAATGAATGGGGGGTGGGAAGTTTACAGTAGGCGAGATGGCTCCGTGGGCAAAGGCTCCTGCCACCAAGCCTGAAAACCTGAGTTCAATCCCTGGTACCCCCTGGTGGAAGAAGGGCACCTGCTCCTCTGACTGAACTTTTTAAAGTTAGTTTTAAACAAGCCACGATAAGCAGGTCTCCATCTTAAGTGAAGACAGAACAGATAGGGCCGACATTTCTCATTTTGTCTCAGGCACCGCCTGGTCCTGGCAGCCACTAGTCATCTGAGTTCGCTGCTTCAGATTTCCTGGGACAACCATGAGCCTGTTTTAGCAAGGCTTCCAGGGGATTTTCACATATGATCAAGTTTAAGAATTACTAAAAAGATAATCACTGATGTTTCTCTCATGCCTTCTGGGCTGGTGCACCCAGAGAACCATGCTACCATACTGGAGGGACCCAGAGAGCAAGGAAGGAACAGAATCTCACCTCCAACTACATGACCTGGAAGATGACCCTGGGCCTGGCTGCACTGAATTGCAGCCTTGTGTGAGGCCTTTTAAGCCCCTTTAGTCATCCCTGGACTCTTGACCCAGACACAAGGTCGGATGATAATTACAGTTCATTTTAAGTCACTAACTTTGTGTTTATTTGCTTCAAAGCAGTAGAAACTTTAACATCCTAGGTTTTCATGTACCTACATGGATCATTGTTTTCCCCACTTACTCAATCATGATTTCCATCCGTGTTAAATCTCTACAAAATATGTTTACTTATTGATGCTCCTATTAGCATCTTTATAGTAAATAGAATATTGGCTGTACATAAAATTATTTTCATAAGTACTTCCTCATTGGTTGTGCACTGAATTATTTTCATAGCGACTCTATTGTCGTAGATCACATGTACTATATACAATCTATCCACTTAAAATGAACAGTTCAGTGGTCTTAGTATCTTGGGAGTGGGGCAAGCATCAGAGAATTGTCTCAAGGCCCACGAGATCATATGCCCTTTGACTATCACCCCAGGATCTGACACTTCCCTCCATTCCCCAGGCAGAACCTAATCTACCTGCTGTCTCCTAACATTTTCCTACTTAACGCATCCTGTGTAAGTAGAACGGTGTGATATGTGGCTTCGCGGCTGCTCTCTTAGATGTTCCTAGGTTCATTCAGGTTGGAACATGTATTGC